TAGGAATGTTGTCCTTTTGATGGGAAAAAAAAAAAAAGAAGTGCTTGGATGCTGTCAGCCTGACACGGGGCCTTGTCTATACCAGCTGCTTCTGACCGGACAACATGACTGCTGGGTGCTCTACATGTCACCTTTGTAAAAAATACATAGTGACAAAATATAAGAGAAATAGATAACGAATACTGAACAGCTATGATTTGTGGCTATTGCAATCAAACACATTTGTCATCATCGTTGTCAGTCACCTTTTCCACAATATGTTCTTCTTTGATATTCCTGGTGTTGCCAAGCCGCAGGATGTAGGCTAAATTCAGGTAGGAAGGAAACAGTGTACACAAAGCAATTCACCAGAGCAGGGCAGGGCAGGGTAGGACAGAGACGGAAAGTGGAAGCTCCTCAGCTGGCCCATACCTGCCCCACATGCCCCCCAGCTTGGGCAGCACCACCTTTCGGAGCCTGCCCAAGGGAAAGACCTTGCTGGGGGCTGTAGCTGCAGTACTCTCAGGCTCCAGCTGTGAGACACAGCTAATGTTAACTCTGAGGCAGGCACCTACATACCCTTTATATTACAGAGATCTGGAAAGGGCAGAGGCTAACCTCTGAAAAAGTCAGAGAGACAGAAGTGTAGTGTGGGGGCTCCCCTCTCCCTACACTCTGAGCTACTGAGCAGGAACGGCAGTGCCCACTTCTCACACTGACAGCCTCTGAGGTGCGACTGGCACCTCCAACTACTGCTAGGTGGTGTTTGAAACTCTGAACTGCATCCCTGGTTGCAACACCCCAGTGGGTTTGCAATCAGTGGAGTCCCAACACAGGTATTCTAATTTAGCGGCTCCTGTGGGACATTTGTCCATGACTTCTTCCCTTCTTCCTCCACAAGAAATGGGAACATGCAATTTCATTTAAAGTGCTCAGAACCATTTTCCCTATATCCACCTACCATTTAGTCTTCTTCTGGCCTTAAAAATCCCCAAAGACAGCTAACCTATAGAATAGTTTTTGTACTGAGTGGAACAACAGGTCATTATCTCCCCTTAGGGTCTTCAAAGGATAACAACAAGTCCATATCCAGCCATAAGACACATCAGTATTGCCATAAAGTGCAATATACATTCAGTCCAGGAGATGGAAGTATGCACAATGAAAGTTTTTATGTTACAGCAAGAGTGATAATAACAGTCAGAGTATAATCTAATACTCTAGAAGCAGGATATTCAAAAACAGTTTTCCTAATAGTCACAAGAAAACAAAGCTGTGCTGAGATAAAAGTTATGTATGTGTAGAGAGGAGGTTTGCACGGGCACTGAATCTCTGTGTGGAAATGTTGGTAGACCATAGTAGGAGTATCAATTCTGTGTAATAATTAATGGAGGTGTGTGATCCTGATGGAAAAAGTCCACTCTGCGGCACAGTGTGTTAATGTGAGCTCAGCATTCATGTCTGTGCTCTGTATACTCTTGGCACTACTCCACCTGCTCCACCTTTCAGTCCATATTCCTATAAGGAGTAGCTAGTTCCTTAAGCTCTGTATTTTCCCTTAGAGTTATGTCCATTGATCACTGTGCAGTTTAAATGCTGGCATATAGTCACAGTGAGGGAATGATATGTTTAAGCCAAGGTTTGCAGTCCTGTGTTAAAAGTACTTCTAGTGCACTTGGGGGTGGGTGAGTGGGGTAACAAGTGGTGCTATAAAATAAGGAGCTGCCAGATGCAGTGCAAGAGCCTGCCTGGGTTCTAGAGGTGGTGTTGGTGCAGACACTGACCTGCTGTTTCACTGAGCAGCCAGCCCCACCACAGGAACTCAGTCCTCTCATTATAAACAGCATAACATGCTGTCTATAAACTTGGATTTGGGGAGAGGAAGACAAGCTGCTGTCACATGACATTCAAGAATTTGGATTCTCTCCAGCCTGCTGTTCTGGGTGATCCATTTGGACTCACCATCTTTCTATATATATTTAAAAACTCTTTGGTTATTGCTACTATCCTCTGTGTTCTCTATTTAATTCCTTGACTCCCCCTGCCTGTCCCCCCTATCCAGGCTGGCAGCCTTCCTCTTTTTTTCCACTATGATCAAAACAGGAACTGAACTTGGAGACTTTTTCAGAAGGCCAGTACAGTAGTGAGGATATAATGGTTCCCTCTGTCTCAGTCATCTTCTTTCTGCTCCTTTTTCCTTCCTCTCATTCTCTCCTTGTCTCTTGCTCTGGAAACCTTTACCTTCCCCTGACAACCATAACCCATATTTTCTTCAAAATATCAGACTTCAGTGATAGTTTAAGTCCCATATTGTAAACTGTGGAGACTCAGGAACTGAGTACCAAGCAGTATAGACAGCAGTACAGTACAGTGAGACAGCCACGGAGGCAGATGAAGGTATCAGGTATTGCAGGCTCCCAAGAGTAGTCTATGACACTGCTAAACTCTAAACATTCTGAATTTCAGTTCTGAACAAACCTTGTGGAACTTACTTCCGTCTGATATCTTCTTCTAGAAATACAAAGCACAAGCATGTGCTATAATTAAATTTCCAATGTCACAGGATAGAATTATCTCATTTTCCTTGCAAAACAGATGTGATTTCTCAGTCTTGCGGAACATCAAGCTAGAAGTCTTTTTGCAAATAACACCAGTATGCATTTCACTTTACTCTTCCTAAACAATGATCTTACTTATTTCCTTTTATTTCCTGGTCATACAACAGAAAACAAAAAAAAATCCAAAAACAAACAAACAAACAATAATGGTTCTGCATCAGAAAGCTGGGAGGTCCGGCTATTTTTACCAAATGTCTTGCCCTGTATCCACAGAAGTCTTGCTAGCCAGCCCAGAGGGGAGAGATGTCTATTTCCAAGTGCCTCCACACATAGAAAAGACCAGGCAACCATATGCTGTTACTGAGGGGTGCAAAAAGATGCCTGTGGTCTGTTCAAGTTTCAAGCCCTTAGAGAAATTACGGAGAGACTATCCTGAAGTCTCAGAGACAGGACAAGCTACAGTATGATTTCAATACCAATTTGAAATCCAGAAAGATTCGTGATAACTGAACAAAACAATTTGTTAGTTCCATTGCCTTAGACAGATTTTGCACTAGACACTCAAAGAATGTGGTTATCATGTTGCCACATCAGAGGAAATTTAAACTACTTCCAAATAGCAGTGTGCAGCTACTATGACTTCTGAAAAAAAGAAATATTAGTATGATGAAAATACGCAATAAGTATTTTCTTGATTGCAATGCAAAAGTATTTTTAAGATGTCTACAAATATACAGAACAATAACAAGGAGTATGTATTCCCACATGTGCTGAACATTTCAAAATGTCCTGGATGTCCATGAAGGAAGCTACCCTTAAAGCAATTGTTCTTAAATTGTTTTTGTGTTGTGGACATAAGCAATGGATTTGACTCCATGTCTTCTAGTATTTATAGAGGGCTAGTATTCCAAGCCTTGAATTCTACACATGATTTGGGATCTGAAAGAAAAGATACATTTTATTAAAGTTGCTGCAGATGTGATTCAACTAGTTTCTTGTGGCGATAATGAGCAGTGTATAAGTAAACTGCACGCATGCATGGGAAGTTCATTCAGCCCTGTTTTATTATTGGAGCCATGCTGATCACAGTACATCACAGTAGCCTTCTACTGTACATACTAACTTTGTGGAAATCTGACTCCATACGCTTTGTTGGTTTACTCATATGCAATTATTAATGAGAGGACTGAGTTTTGAAAGTACTTGGAATTTGTGGAGTCAGAATCTAAACTGGAAAGAGCAAGTAGTTGGAGTGAAAACTATTTCACCTCCTGAACAGAACTGACTGTTGATCTCTAGCCACAAAAATCAAGTCTTTATTGTCTTGCCATGCCATGCCATGATTTTAATCTCTCTCAAATTTTCTATTATTTGCTCTATTTTTATGCCATACTTTGCATATATCACACTTTTATTATCATCCTTTCATGAACTCAGGATGACTTGCAAGTGCACTTCCTTTTTGTGGTTTTTTTGTTTTGTTTTGTTTTCCCTTTTTTTTTGGTGGGTTTTTTTGTGTGTTTTGGGTTTTTTTGTTTGTGGGCGGATTTTTTTTTTTTTTTTTTTGAGGGATAAGGCTGCTGAAGAGGTAATATCTATGAAAAGGATTTATGTCTTTTTCTGGAGGTAGACAGAAAAAGATCATGGCAGTTCTTACGGATTTTTCAACTTCACAGCCATAATGTATGCCACACAAAACATATTGCCCAAAGAGGCTTCAGCAAAGGAACATGTTGCTGTTGTTCTTTCAGGCTGCTAAATAGCTTTGAGGTTTCCTAATCTTGTGATAAGAAAGTAGTTCTGCTTTTTTCCTGTCATGTGGGATGCGGGATTCTAAAGTTAGGTACATGGCAACATTTGCTCTGAAATGTTGTTTTTATGCATCTTAATATTATAACTGGTGACTAGATGGAGTACTGGCCTAGTTAATAGCGCTTTTCAGGAGTAATTACTGTTTTTTTCTCTCCAAGCAACAGGTGGTCTGTCTTTTATCACGTTTGGAAGAGATCGTCAGCTCACACCCCATCTCTCTCCTCACTTTCCTGCCCTATGGATAGGAACTCGGGCCAAGTGCATTGATTATACCAACCCTCCCTCATCGCCAGCTTGAATTTACTCCTGGCCAGTTAATAGCTATTAATTCTTGTGCCAACGTTGTCATTATGCTCTGGCGCTTGTTTTATGGATCCTGTAGCTTGCTAGAGCCCGTGTAGGGGGCGATCGGCGGCCTTTCTCGGCCTGTCAGTCTTAAGAGCGTATCGTGACTCCCCCGAGCCAGACGCGCAGCGTCCCCCGGCAGCCGGCAGGTCGCTCCCGTCGCTGTCCCGGCCCGGGCGGGCACTCCCGGCCGGGCACACCCTGTCACGGTCCCGCTCCGGCGGGCTGGGCATGCTCAGTGCCGGCGGCCGGGCTGGCGCTGGCCCCGGTGCCCGGTCGGCCGGTGGCCGCTGCCGAGGCGGGCCGGCGGGAGGAGCCGCACGGTGCGGCTGTGGCGGGCGGGCGCTCCGGCCCCATGGGCAGCCGGGCGGCGGACGGCGCGGGCAGCGAGCGGCCCGCAGGTGGGAGGCGGGGGCTCCCCACGCTCGTCTCCCCGGGGAGGGAGGCAGCTGCTGCCCCGCGGGCTCCGCACGCTGCGGCAGGGACGGGAAAGGGAGCGGGAGCGCAGGGGAGCGGGGCAGGACCCTGCAGGGGCTGAACGCCGCGGGGCCGCGCTCCGGGGCTGTCCCAGTGGGGGCAGAGAGAGCACCGCATGAGGCCAGGCGCGTCCGGGGTGGGCTGACGGGAGGGAACCGGCTGGCACCGCACCGAACCGAACCGCACCGCGGCGGGCACATCCCGCCCGCACGGCAAAGTCCACGCTCCTGCATGAGGGGGAAAAAGTGCAGCGCCGCTTGATTTAATTCTCAGAGCAGGGAGGGTAGAAGTTCTTTTGTGCAGCGTTTAATTTTCCAACCTGATTTGCAAATCGTTCCCCTCTGTCGGGGAGTTAATACTTCGTTGTTGTTTTGTTTTGTATTTCTAGATGGTGGTGCGGAAGCACTTGGTGAGGAATCAGGGCGGTTTTCCAGGGAACAGCTATTTACACTGGCTTCGGCAGCTTCTATAAACCTCAGTTCAATGATGTGCTACTCAATCCTGGGACCCTTTTTCCCTTTAGAGGTAAACAAATAACTTAGTCAGCTACTCTTTACACTGCTTTTTTTTCATGTTGAAGCTTTTAGAAGTATCTTGAACTCCATGGGACCTTTATGGTTGGCTGTAAGCTCTGAGTGAAGGCTTTTTAATTGTGGGAATTCAGTGGTAGCCTGATGCTGGCATAAATTGTGTGTGTATGATGGTGACCTGGATCCTGTCTGTGGACTAATCTTCCCTATGACTACAGAGGTGACAGCAAACTAATAATACGCGATAGAAGGTGGATTCTTGGAGAACATGAAATAGTTCTTTGCTCAGTGTTCTGTAGTAGTTTCATAGAGCTGATATTAAACTCTGCCAGTGTCCTGACTTGCATTTCAGTGCTCTAACCACTCAATGACTTTTTATTTTTAGCTACCTCTCTGTTAACTCATGCTGGGCCATCCTTAACTGTTTTAACTTCCTGACCTAGCAACTCTCAGGGAAAAAAAAACAAAACAAAAAACTCTGCTTATGTGGAGTGAATACAATGTTTAAATATAGGATGAAAAAAAATGGTCATGGTGCCTTTGCAGCAGGAGTCCGTTTCTCTCATGATCAAATTGTTCCCGAGTATTTACAAAAAAATGATTTTTTTCTCTAAATATTCCTGTGTACTGCTTATGTCCAAGTAAATGTGTTTTGTCAACCAAAGGAAGTAAAGAAATTGGTGTTTGTTATAGGGAGGCATGTTACAGCGAAGATAACAGATATCTCTGTTTACTGCCCTCTCACCATGCAAAGGATCGAAGTTTTGGAGTTGCACACACTGTTGCACACCAGTTGAAGCCACCTATATAAAGTCTTTCCACCTGTTCAGCAAATAACACATTTTTGCATTCATTGAGGAATGAACATGGCTTTTCTCTTAATTGCATATTAGAAGTCCAACGTGTCTTTAAATTGCTGTGATATTTTACCTTATGAGCCCCTACTGCCTTTGAGAAAGGAAATTGCTTTCTAACTGCATTAATACACAATTAAAAAAAATTAAATGTACAAAGCATGAATGTTATTCACCTTAAGAATTTGACTTCATCTTTACATGGTTGTGATCTTTTTTTTGCAGGCAATAAAAAAAGGTGCCAGTAACACCATTGTTGGCCTGATTTTTGGATGTTTTGCTTTGTTCAATTTCTTGTCTTCTTTAATCTTGGGAAATTATGTAAGTATAATTGAAGCTGTAACTTATTTCTATTCTGACACAGGTTGATACATGAAGACAGTTCTTTAGGGTTGAGAAAAAAGATGTCTCTTCAGTTGCACTCCTGCAGGCTCGTGTCTGCACTAATTGGAGTCTGGCCAGTCTGAATCTGATCTAAGTCTTGTCAGCACTCTTCTGTAGTTCTTGAGGTGGCATAGTGCGATGGACATGTAGCTGTTTTGGTAACTGTTCTGTTAGCTTTGTAATCTGAATAATCTGATGATCAGTTCTGCTTTCTGTTACCTCCTTTCCCCTATCCCTGTTTTATTTGTTGCACTTGTATATTCTGTTTGCCTTTGGCGACATTCTTAATGTGTTTTTGTTTTGTTTATTTTTTCTTCTTTAGTTAGCTGCACCCCTTCTTCTTTTCTGGTATGTTTTTTTTTTTTATTTTCTCTGCTGCTTAACTCCGTTTCCCCTTCAACTTCATTATAGTAATATAAGATAAACGTTTCCAGTTCCTGCAACTTGAGTTTTCCCATAGATTCAGGAATTTTCTCATGTTGGAGAAATTACAAATAAATTACAAAACTGTTTGTTTATGTGCTGGAGCACTGCTGTCTACGCATTATTGGCTAGGGCTGTAAGCTGGGGCTGCTGCAGAGTCAAAATCTTCTCTGTGTTTGGCCAGGCAACCTCTTTGCTGATCCTATTGTGAGTGCTTTTCCCTGGTGGTGAGGTGGCTCATCAAAGTGTCACGCAAGTGCCATTGCCAAGTCCAAGTCTTGGTGCCTATGATGGCATTCAGCCATGGCACAACCCCTCACTAAGTACTTTACGGGGGAGCGAGCGTGCCATCCTCACTGCAGACAGCTGAAGTGAGCTTCAATAGGCATGGACAGTGCAGCAATCAGAGGTCCTGGGGATTTCAATGAAACTTAGCAAAATATAGGCTTTAGTAATAATGGCTGAAAGGCAGGGACTTTGTCCAGGTCTGAAAAAAGAAGGAGTCTGAAGTACCTGCTGCCCTTAGGGGAAGTTGCAGCATGTAATTAGAAGTTCAAATGTACTTTGTTACAGAATTGAGTTAGCTTTATGGCATTCCTCCCATTGTCCTTCACTCTACTGATAGAGTGTGAAATGAAGAAAGGTGGGGTCCTTTCCCTGGTAGTGAGTGGGGAGGCCTGAAGCTACCGTGCTTCCCGTGCCAAAGCTTTGTGGTATTAAAAGTAGTGATAAATTTGTTTTAAAATTAGCTTCCATTGACTCCTCAGTCATATATGTGACAGGTATTGCTGGCCTTCCCTCAGTCATGGTGCTGGAGGGGGAATGTTTATAATGAGGACTGCTGCTGTAACCTGCTGCGCTGCAGAAGCTGCAGCATGGTGCTGTGACATAGTTAACTGCAGCATTGTCTTACCATTCTGAAGACTGGATTAAGTCACTTAACCATTCAGAGTATTTTTAGGTTCAGTGTTGCATAAAGGTATACCAGCAGAAGCAGTATCTCCAGATCTTTTAGTTACATGTCCTATTAAACTGCCCATAATGTTTGATTTCTTAACACTAACTTATGTTGGAAGATTTCTGATCTTTCCTTGAAATACTAATGTGTGAAAAATGGTATTTAATTTACAGCTTACACGTATTGGAGCAAAATTCATGTTTGTGGCAGGGATGTTTGTTTCAGGATGTGTGACCATTCTGTTTGGGTGAGTAATTTTTGTTGCATTTGTCTTCTGATCATCTTCATCCATATGAAAAGATGGACACAAAACAAAACTAGAAAGTCTTGGGCATCTTTTATGTGTTGGTTAGGTCACCTAACTAGGTTTCAGAGTCTGTTTACTACTTTGAAAATGGAGGAGGAAAGTTCTATAAATTTAAATAACTACTGTAGTTCACTAACAGTGAGAAACCAAAGTGCAGCAAAAAGGGAACTATTTCTACATAACGTTTTAATTTCTCTTTTCTTGAAAATATTGAGTGCAAATGGGGAGCTTTGCCAGGCAGGTGAAGAGGATAAGTCACTCATTTTAACAAAATAAATGTTTTATTAGCAAGGCAAGAACCTCTTCTTAGGTAGCTGTAACACATTGCATCAGACTCCTTGCACAGGTGGTTGGAAAAGCTATGAAATACAACAGAAGATGGCATTGGAACTTTTCACAGGTTAGGTTTTCCTTGTTCTTTTCACTTGCCAACAAAGGGGAGAAGGAGAAAGCTGCCAGAAATAGTTTGGTATTCAGTGATGTGATTCAAAAATATGTCACAATAGGAAGCATTAACTCTCTTGTTGCTATGTCCTTTAATGAGTAAGAAATGATGCTCCAGAACCTTTAGTATATGACTGCTTGTATCCTGAGAGAACTCCATTTACTGTTGGGTTTGTTTTTTTTTCCAGAATGCTGGACAAGGTGCCAAGTGGACCAATGTTCATTGGTTTTTGCTTTTTAGTAAGAGCAATTGATGCAGTAAGTTTTGCAGCAGCAATGACAGCATCGTTTTCGATCCTTGCAAAGGCATTTCCCACTAATATAGCTACTGTCCTGGTAAGTGCAAAAAGCAGTGTTAGAGCTGAGTACCTGCAATATGATAAATTGCCAGTGGGCAGCCAAAAACCAGGAGGAGAAAATCTGTTGTCTCATGTGTAGGCTTATTTGAAGTCACCACGTACTTTGTTTGTAATCTAGAATCACAATCCTAGAACAAGTTTAGACCTTAGCATAACTCCAATTAGATGTAAATTAGACAGTATATATTAGTTGCTTGTGCTTTGAAGTCAGCTGATCACTGATGTCAGTATTTACCTCTTCAGTTGAAATCAGACTATTAAAATGCTAATACATCTTTTAGTGACTACTTCTATGTAGATAGTAAGGATCCACATGGGTTGATTAAAAAAATTGATAAATTCATTCAAATAGTGTTGATTGAAATGCCTGAAAGGTGCAAAATTGGAAACAATTTTGGCTTCATTTTTTTTGGTCTATTGATAAAAGTCATGCATGAGAAGCTGAGAGCTAGAACTTCATGAAATCTGAAGGGCAGTATTTCTGGTCATCAATGATTCATTTCAACCGGAGATATTACCCTTATTTAGTTGGAGTTTTGTGGTGTTAGGAGGAAAAATTTTGTATTTAATAAAAATACTGCTTTCTCTTTTTCAATCAATTCTGCTGTCAGTTCAAATATAGACTGACAGAAATAACTAGAATAAATTTTAATGAGTGAACAAATGTTGAGAACTTACCTAAGAGCATTAAATAAAATTGGAAGAGTTGATGCTCTTTTATTAAAACTGTTAAGCTGTATAGTTACTTCTATAAATAAATGTCTATAAGAATATGTCATCCTAACTAAAAAAAAAACATATTAAATTGTATCAGCAGTGATTAGCTAGCGTTTTCTTTGGAAAGCAGTTTATATATTTTAATCATGTTTTGGATTTATTCAGTCAATAAGGTTTAAATTTTCCTGTTTGCAAATTTTAAGATGTAATTTAAATAGGTAAGTAATGATGACTTAAAGGGACTTAGTTATTTGTCTTATAATCAGAATTAAAAAGAAATGAAATCATGGTGTGGCAGCACAATAACCATGATATGTGGCTGAAAATGGTATGTGGTGATGAAGGTCATCTCAAGACCACAGTTAGAAATGCTGCACAGCCATGGCTTGGCAGCTACCTTTGTTCAAAATCTAGGAAGGGTTCTGTAAGAAGACAGATGACTTATAAATGTTGATCTGTTTACCATATTGTGTGGTCCGATGTCTTTTTCTGCATGAGAATGAATTCTCTTCAAATTCATTCATTTGGATGTACTGTCCTTAAATGGACATGATGGAGAGTTCTTGTTACTGTGAGCTCTGAGACAGGAGGCAGAACAAAGAGCTGACGGTTTGAAGCAAGGTGCATCCTACAGTAAAATTGTAAAGCCTGGGAGAGTGGATGAGATATTTTTAGCCTTGCTTTTCATTGCCCTTCTTGACAGTGGTAGATACTGAAAAGCAATTCCTTTACTCCTTTGGTACCCTAGAGAATGTATGGGGAAGTTATTAAATGTAGGCACTTGTTGAAGTGGGAAGTTCAGCTTATGTCATCATGATCCCTCTGCTGGAGGTGGTATGGACTTCAGAACATAAGCAATCTCACTTTTCTTACGGTATCAGGTTTATCTTGTCCTCTAATCTGTACTAATGCAATGTCTCCACTTCCCCTCTGTCCCCGCTTCATTAACTCAGAGGGCTGAATGATGTACATCCTGATTTGAACCAAAGTCTCACAAATCAAATCAACATTTTTTATGGTTAATGAGCATTGTGTTAAATCAACAGCTATTCCACATTTCAAAGTTTACCCAAATGTCTCAAATCTATATGGAAATTTTGAAACTTACTAGTCGTATGATGTTACTAGTTATTTCCTTTGCTAGGAAAGCAAAAGGCTGCAACCCTAGGCTGACCCAGGGTAAAGAACTTGGCTACTGCTGATTGTGCCTGTTTTTGGGCCATTTGACCACTCTGACTTGCATCATTAAAATTAAAGATGAGGATGAGTCGCTATATATTCTGGGTTCCAGAAGTTATCAAAACTTTAGCTGTAAGCAGTTATTACCACCAACTGTTACTGGTGGTCTAAGTGTTGAGGCAGATGTTGACAGTGGTGACTTGTAACACAAGAGGTAAGTATAATTGTATTATTGTCCTTTTACAAATTAGTATCTTAATAAAAGTCACCAGATTATTAAATTATAGCCAAAACAATCTGAGTTGTCCCCATTGCAATTTCATTATGATTTCCTACCCCTAAGGAGTGAATCAAAACAGTTGGTTATGAAGAGAAGGCTTTAACTTGGCACATGCACTTCATCCCATGAGATAATGACCCCTCTGAATAAGTTTGTTTGGATCCTTCCCCTCAGGCTGGAGTGTAATGGCAGGTGGGAGAGATATTTAATTTAGCTTAAGTTTTCCTGCAGATGCTTTCTGCCACTAGAGCATTCACCTTTCCTCAGGACTGGGATCTGTTAAGTAACAGCAGAGAGGTGAATGCTGCAATACAGACAGTTCTCTGTAGTTAACCAAAAGAGATCATGACTGTCACACGGATAACTGTGAAATCCCTTTCTCTATCCCACCTTGTGAAGGTCACTACTAGCTGTTGTCATTAGTGATGTAGTGTCTTTTTACTTTTCACTAGCCTGCCTAGGTGGTTCTGCTCCTCAGACAGATCGGTTGTTTTGTATCGTTGCATTGTATTTGCTCAACATACTGACTTCCTTTTTGCTTGCTTTTTCATCCTTTAGGGCAGCCTTGAAATTTTCTCAGGACTCGGACTGGTGCTGGGCCCACCTTTAGGTGGCTTTTTGTATCAATCATTTGGTTATGAGGTCCCTTTCATTACCCTGGGATGTATAGTGTTGGTTTTTGTGCCTATGAATATGTGCATATTGCCAAAATATGGTAAGCTTCCTTCTACCCACCTCCTTCACTCACCTTTATTTCTCAAGTATTTAAGTGTCTTTAAAACATATCAGCTTCCGGAGTCTGATCCAAGTCAGAGGGCAAAGCTGCAGTTGAATTACCTGATCATCTTCATCAGGCCCATGTTTTATTGCTAACCTAAACTCGTGTACACATGGCCTGAAATGAATGCAGCTCCTCATGCCCATTTCTGCAAACATTAAGAACTCTGTGGAAGTGAACTGAGATATATTTTGTTTTCTTTTCCCTTCTTAGCTTCAGGGTTCATAAAGCACTAGTTGATTCTGCTTCATGTAGGTTTGTCATTGCAGCTAGTTGAAGAAAAGCTGGAGATAGATTTTGCCTAAAACAAGAGATCTCGACATACTTGAGGAGTTAACAGTGTGCATGGGGAAACTAATTACAGGGAGAAAAAAAGATGTTTTTTGTACTGAATTATGCAGAATCTCGTTAACATGAAAGAACGTTAAAGTTAATAAATGAGGTGTTTAATGAAGTGCTGGAGGTCATATAAATGTAACAAAATTTTAGATGATCCTGCTTGGACAGAAAACTAACTTAAAGATGTCTTCACACAAGATTGTAATTGCAAGGTTACAGTTCCATTATTCTTTTATAGAGAAAAGAAAATGTAACTTTAAAACGCTTCTTAAAAAAATTGTGTATATTGGCTTTTAGAAGAAACTTGCAGTAATAAACCATGTGCTACAACTGCTGGCTTTCCCTCTGACCTCCCCAAGCTCTGAAAGTTTGTGGAGTCATGATATTACTAGCCAGTTTGAAAAGATGTTAAATAAATGTTAGCTCTGAGGTGGTGGATGCGAGTGATTGAACTTTAGGTTCTAATGTATACTTTGAGACCTCATTCAACTATTAAAGGAGAAACAGCATCAGGAAAGGAGCCTGACTTAGAAGTGCCATGTAATGATGACATCTGAAAGAAGTTTCCTGGAGTACAAATTGGACATATAGGAGACTCAAACACCTAGTTGCTTAAAAAATCTGGCAGCTCTCAACTGATAAATAACTATCTTTTTATCTTACTTTTAAACCACGTTTCTTTGTTTGGATATGAATTGTTCATGTATGTGTGCATGTTGAGACATACCTGTGAGAATTTCATTGTATAAGTACTAGCAGAGAAGTAACTGCTTTTACACATAATTGAAGTAGTACATGCCTTTGTTCAAGTTGGGAATTTGCAGTGTTGAAATTTAAATTGTGCACTTTTCTTCTTCGCCTGTGAAATTAAGTTTTTCACTATAAAAATAATATAGTGCATAATAATCTACTATGGACTTTCATTTGTTATGTAATGGGAGTAATAGGACTAGAAAAAGAGAAATACTGATTTCTTTTCTATAGCAAGAAGATCAGTCATGAGCTTACGATAATGCAATTTTCCCCCCTTTTCTATTGAAACAGATTCAATCCCTAGCAAGGAATCCTTTTGGAAGCTTATACTTCTACCAAAAGTCTTAGTACTCTGTCTCACTATATTTTCTCTAAGTGCATGTTTGGGCTTTTTGGATCCCACAGTATCTCTATTTATTCTAAACAAGGTAAGTCCTGCTAACATGCAGTGAACTCTTGAGTTGCTAAATAGTAAGTAACTGGTTATAAATGTGGTTTAAATATCCAAGATGAAATTAAGCTTTATCCAATTACACTGCTTTAATTAACTGTCAATAGTGTGATTTCCTAATAACTTGATTTCCACAGTACTGACAAGTCAGTTTCTATTGACACTATATCATCCTGCTGGATCTTGGTAACTTTGAGAACAAGGAAATGTAAGGCCTTTAAGTATGTGCTTTTTCCACTTAATTGGCTTTCAACAACAAAGTACCTTCTCTGAATAGGACACAGCAGCTGGTTTTGTAAGCAAGGGACTTTTTCTTCCTTCCTGAAATCGAATTCTTGAAAATTGTCACAGTCACTGACAGTGTTACATCTCTTGATGTGAACACTTGTTTTCCACAATGCGGTGTTCACAGCTCTGCCTTCTTTTTCAGCAATCCTAAAATTAAACTGATTGCAAGTATGTAGTTGCCAGCTGACTTCACTCATTTGTTAAAAAGGCAAATTACATTTTATTTATTTATTATTTATTTTAATACTTATTTGTTTTCTACTTGATTTATTTATTTTTCCCAGTGGTGTTTAAGGTAATGGATTTGAAGTAAGTAGTTCCTCTGTGAAATTAAGCAATGCTCTTTGAGTGCTTTATTTATTGTTTTTCTAAGGGATAGTGTTTCACAGGTGATTGTGCTCCTACTTTTTGTCTATCTAGTATTGTACTTAGAGCACTTATCTGGGGTGAAGGGGACTTGGTGCTAACTGCTTTCATCAATGGAGATGTGAATGTACATCTTTCATTACCCAGGAGGGATCTGTAAGTATCCCACTGTAGAATACTGTGTCCTTCTGTGGCTCTTCTGCTTTCCTTCTATACTGTGCTAACAGATACTTGCTGTGAAAGGACTGCAACCTTCTTGGCAGGTGTTCCAACCACTAAATTGGAGTTATTATTGTGTGCTTGCATATGGCAAGGAAATAATGAGTATTTATGTAGTCAATAGCACATGAAACATCTTGGAATACCTTCTGTTAGTCAAGGCTCTCATTTGAGAGACTGGTGTGCTTTTGGTTCATTACACATTTTGTTTCAGGAATGTGTTTACAGAAATATATCTCTGCATTAGGAAAGTGTAGACCACGGGGTGTTTGCAAAAAAAACTCTTATTCATTCTCATAAAAATCATCCTCTGGTGGAAAAGTTGCAGTTGAGTTTTATAGCACTATTTACTTTTAAGATGCGCTGATTAACAGTGGATGGCTACAGTATTATGCTTTTCTAAGTACAAAGCAAACTGAAATTGGAGAAGTAAAGACTAAATCCATCTAATTTTCAACTGTCTGAAGTGACTGTGTCAGGTGGTTTTACCATGTGGAAAGCAATGAAACTGAAACTCTGTTGATGGCATCAAATATTTGAAAAACGTTTGTATGGTATCAGTAAAATGATTAAAATTGTGCATTTCACTATTATGAACCAAAATATAATTCTTGAATTGTCCCCTAATGAATGTAGCATGTATGGCTTGTTTTGGTTTTTTGTTTTATTCATTCCTTTTCATAGTTCAAGCTCCCAACTGGTTATGTGGGCTTGGTGTTCCTTGGTTTGGCACTCTCGTATTCCCTGTCTTCTCCCCTCCTTGGACTTGTAAGCGACAAACTGCCAGTGAGTATTATTAGGAAGAGATGGAGGACTTCCCGTATTGATGCAATGGTGTAGGTCTGGTCCTGTAAAGGGACCTGCCTTTCAGAATCTTGGACATGCACCCATTACTGCCAAGTGGAAGGTCTCTTTTCCAAGGCGCAGGTAATTTAGGAATGTCCAAAGTAGTAAAGGACGTTGGACAAGCGGGTTGAAGTGTGCTGAGCTTTTCTAGTGGACTAAGCACACAGTCTGTTTCCAGACAATGTGGAATAGAGAGTGGGAGAATATGTCCCAGTTACCCCTGCTTTTGACCACATCTAATTGTATTAGCTTTTGAGAAGAGGATTAAAGATGTTCTGCTTAGCTGTATTGACTTTACCTCTTAAAAAGTATAATATCCAAATTAGATCAGCACACTGGCTGGCTATAGTCCTTTAGCTCTTGACAGCACCATAGAAAGAGACTTTGACAGTGAAATGGCTAAAACTGCCTAGTTGAGAGCCACTGCGAATGGATCAAGGAAACCTACACTTTGAATGCTGTGCCTGAAGGACAGTGACAGTTTTCTGACACTGTGTTTTCCTGACACAAAGTAATAATGGTCTTTGTACATGAGAATTACATAGAATCATAGAATGGCCTGGGATGGAAGGGACCATTAAGGGCAATGCTGCATGATATTTCATACCTTAAAGAAGAGTAAGTCCTAAAATACTTCGATAACAGAGAAGCACTATTGCTCGGTATCAGAAAGAAATCTCTTCGTTAAGCAACTGCTGCCAGTGATTGCATTGCCAGTGAGGAAACATGGATTCACTATTTGGTGTTCAGAATTGGCAGGGAAACTTGAATTCCCATTTTTTCTGTAATGATGGTCTCTTCAGGGGTCATACTTTTCAGATAAAGATTTAGAGCAGTAATATTAGGAAAGACAAAATAGCTACATTACAAATTCACAATTTTAAATTGCATACCTTGTCTTTCACAGTACACCAGAAAGTGGCTGCTGATAGCTGGAGGCTTACTGACAGCACTGTGCTTTTTCATGTTAGGACCTGCTCCAGTATTGCACATTGAAAGGTAATAACTGCCTCTTCTTGAGCCTGCCCCCTTATGTGATGTTTTCAACCATATCATGTACGTCCTCAAGTTTATAATTTGCACCTCTGACCATGAAACACTTTTATGTCTAGCATAAAACTGAGTGTAAAGCAGTGAAAGCATCTGCAAACAGAGATTTGACAGCTTCATAAAATAGATCCTTTTCCTTTGCTTTTTACTGTTAAGTGTGCTCATAATGATTTTTTTCTATGTGTAGCTTACTGAGGAAATGCTAGATTATAGTTTTGTCTTCATCTACCTAAGTAAAGACAAAGTCCATTGCACCTGAATGCTGTGTTGCCATATGTCTCAGAGTTAATTCACAACAAAACACTCTACTACATTTACAAAACAACTGTGGAATCCTTTTGTCCTAGGTTAGATAATCTGTTAAAGATGATGATAGGATTGTTAATGTGTAGAATTCCTCTTAGGTTCCTAATTTTTAAAGGAGATTATATATTGAAACTGGCAAGATGACAGGTTTGAAATGGTGAGAAAAAGAAATCAGTGATGTCTTCGATATTCTTTAGCTAAGTCTATTTGCTTATAATATCCTAGGCTACAAAATTTTAGCTTCAAAATCCTCCACTTCTGCAACAAACCAAGTATGGAGCTTGGACAGATGCATTATTGAGTTAAGCTTATCTGTTGACCTCTTCTCTATGTGGTCCTCGTTAAATCAACTTACGATTTTTAACTTACCAACAAAACTCCATTTGATAAGAAAATATGTGATTTGAGCGCAGGTTCTTCACATTCTTTTAAAAAGTCCTTTTTTAAAGCAAAGAACTGTATTTTTCAAGTCTTGGTATTAGCTTCAACAAACATAATTTGCTGATCAATCATGAAATGCTGATATAACAGCCGTCAGTTAAGTGGGGTCCTTCGAAAAGAGTTTTAAGCAGCTAACTTATTTTGAATGCCTCTTTTTCAGTCAGCTGTGGATGTTTGTGCTAGTGCTGGTTTTGATTGGCCTTTCCCTTGGCATGAGTGCTATTCCAGTGTTTCCAGAAGTACTGCAATGTGCATAGTAAGTAACTTGGTCCAACTCTTTCATGCTACTGGCAGTAGGAAACTGCAGCTATTTTTCAGGGGTATTATGCTCTGGATTTTAAGCCGTAAGCTGCCCGCAGCAGTTACATATTATTTAAGACTTTCTAAGCCATTTGTTTCATTATAACCTTGAATTCGCATCTGAAGAAAGAGCCACACACTCTTCTCTAAGAGAAATCTTCTTTAATTTGGTGAGAAAAATAAGACATTTTGACAATAGTTTTACATATAACAGATAACATATAACTGAAGAAAAACATTTTACTAAAACACCCAGCACAAAGACCCATTCAACAGAAGACAACCCCTATAAATAATCCATAAACCAGCTTTAGTAAAACACAATTCATTTGTTTTAAGTTACCTGCAAGACAAGGAAAAGAGTAAAAGAAGAAGACAGATGAAAAGCACAAAGAGAGAAAAAAGAAAGAAGGAGAGAGAGAAAAGGAAAAATAGTTACTGACAAGATTCAACGATTCACGTGGTGCAGGCAACAGGAGGGAAGAGAGAGAGAGCGCTCACATGGAGTGTATTTATATAGTTCATCTTTCTCTCCCAGGCAGATATATCCGGGCAGTGCCTTCCAGGCCAGAGTGAGGTGTGCTGTAGCCAGTTACAGACTCCAAGGGCGTGGTGTCGGTGGGCTACCAGGCAGGTCTGCCTTGACTGACAGCCCAGCTATAGGGCCTTCAGTGATGCTGTGTGCTTTGCATGGGCTCAGCCATGTCAGCTGCAGCCTTCTGGCTCTGCCATGTGCTCTCAGGGACCTGGCCCTCTGAGCTACAGACCATGTGCTCTCAGCAGGCTTTATGTGATAAGACAGGCATACCTTGTACCTGCAGGTCTAGGCCCAGTCCTTCCCCACACACACACACAGTGAATTGGTTCTGACCCATATCAATAATTCGGTGAGATTCGGATCCCATATCTCAGAAGGGGTGAATACGAAGTGTGGCTTTTTTACCCCTCTGAGACAAAGGCAGCTAGTAACACTTAAATGCTTCCACTACTCCCTTGTCTTAGTTTTTTCTGAGTACCCCAGTCATTATACTCCCAATATAACTTTGTAAATGTGTACCTCAGTACTATGAACACACTGAAGTCCATGAGACATTGGGTCTGATAGCATCTGGTGAACCTGTGTGTGATTTCATATACAAAGGATTATTTCAGCTTCTGAGGACTACTAATAGCAAGCAGCTTTCACTGGATTTTCAGACTGTATTGGCTCTTACAACTGCACCTACAAGAGTCATACTTGCTCGAAGTACAAGGTCTGTGTTGTGGCTTGGCAGTAAAGACCTAGAAGGGTCTTGATTTACTCTTATTACTATGTTCCTTTTGAAAAAAGGTATTTTCTTCTTAAAAGCCACCTGTCACCGTTTTACACTTGCTGTATATGAAACATGGGGAGTGAGTGTGATGGTGTGATGTTAGTGATCTTACCCAGAAAAAATTGGAGAGGAGGAGTAGCACTGTAATCCTCCAGAGAGGCAGCAAGGAAGAAAGTACTGGATAAACAGACATTCTACCATACTCTTTGGGTTGTTAACTAGTTGTGTAGTGTGCAAATTAAAAGAAGGGGAAAAACTCCATAAGGAAAGGCTATAGACTGAGACACAATAATGTATTGTACTACTCTTAACTGACCTGTCTTTCTGCAGTGAGAATGGATTTGAAGAAGGTCTGAGTCTGCTGGGGCTGGTGTCTGGACTCTTCAATGCCATGTGGTCTCTTGGGTAGGTATACACCTTTTTGTAAATTAGGAGAGTTTGATTGTTTGAGACTGTTGCCGCACAAAACCTGGCTGCATTGTAACTGGAAGTCTTGCCTTGCAGCCACTGTGTTAACCTTGATTAAAAACTTTTTTGCTAGACAGGTGCTTGGTGAGCATTTTAAAACAAAGCTTTTTACCCAGCAAAGGGTAAAACTGGATTTGACAAGATGCTGAACTTGTCTTCCTTGAAATGTATTGTCCTGCATATCAAAAAGCTGCAGTGATTAAGTGGATGTTTGCTTGCACTTCTGTGTTGTGTGATCATTTTTCTTGTCACTAAAATATTTAGTGCTCAGTACAGAGAGATCTGGACCCTAATTTTCCACAAAGCTATGTCCACCCACATGAGGTGAGCTAGAAGGTGCCTGCTCCTGACTAATTCTGCTTTCCATTTTCCACATTTCCTCCTTTTATATGTGATAGGGTAGAATCTTCTCTTCTTTTTCAGCCACAGCAATTATTTAGGGTGTGTGTTTGCATAGCTTAGCAAAATGTGTCTGTATTTATTACTTAGTCGTCATTGACACAGAAATGAATGAAAGATGCTACTGGCTGAGTGACCCTTCAGAGCTGTCACTCAGTGGGAGTGATATAGTGCCCCTGTTGACAGCCACTTTCAGGATATTTTCATCTATCTTAGTAGTCCTCTGTGGCTGCAGGTGTGTTTCAGTGGCACAAATTTACACCATTTTTTACAAACTCTAGCTGTCCAGATGTCCTGTTTATTTAGCATAGGGTTCAGTACAGACAGAGGTAGTATAAAGTTACAAAACCTCAGTTTTTGCTCTTACCAAGCCCACTTTTATAATATAACTTTCTTCCAAGAAATCTCTCTAGTTTTACACAGTTTTGTCCCTTTTGTAGTGAGAGACCATATCATGTAAGACCTTTCATAAGGAAACAGCAGCTGCATAACCTTTCATGGAATCTTTAGGCAGGCATTAAAGGTGCAGGGCAGTTAATACACAGCTCAACCTTGCAGTGACCATGTCTGTCACAATGTGCCTCCCCACCTGCCTATATTCACTAGTACTTTGTCTTGAAGTTTTGATGGATCAGACTTTGAATTTCTCTTATGATAGAATCGTTCAGTGTAGATATTCTGTTAGAACATGGTCTTCAATGGGTTCCCTATACTGAAAAAGACTGCATTCACCTTTCTGATGTGGGTCCTCCTTCCAGCTGAGGACGTGACTAGACACATTTACTGGGGCCTTGGAAAACAAAGAATTGATACTTACTGTGGATTATAGGGAAGTTAGGTCTGTGGAAGACAATTTCTTTGTTGAGAAGAGTGAGAGAATCTATGAAGGAAAGCCACAAAACACAATAAAACAGTTCTCTGAGAATATGATATCTTTTTTGTTTGGGATGCCAGTACATGATTTTGATTTATTACAGGGCATTTGCAGGTCCCATTCTGGGAGGATTTCTAAATGAAAAGCTGGGTTTTGAATGGGCTGCAGCCATCCAGGGAGGATGGGCACTGTTAAGTGTAAGTAGTAACACATTTTTTGTTTTGTATCTATTGTAGTTGCAAGCTATTGCATAAAGTTGTTATTATTATTACAATTGTAACTGGCTGTTTCCTCAAAGGGGCTTACAACTGGAATATTCTATATCATCGAGGCAACAAGGAAAAGGTATGCTGAGTTATTTATTCTTTATTTTACTTGCAGTCATCTAAAGCAATCCTTTGAAAGCTGTGCTTCCACCTTTTTCCTCATTACCAACCTGATAATGAATTATGAGGAGTAAAAATACTGCTTAAATAATTTGTCTGTATGGTTTCCTAAATCCCCACATAAACAAGGCAATACCTATTTTATACAAGCAGCAGGACCATGGCAATAATGAGCAAACCCTACTGATGTTTCCTCCAGAAGGGTGTCTGTGAGCTGGAAATGGTTGGATGGTCATGTGCAGAGAGTAGTGGTCAGTGACTCAGTGTCCTGGTGGAGATCAGTGATGAGTGTTGTCCCTCAGGGGTCTTGCCTTGGGACAAGTGCTGCTTAGTATCTTAACCAACAACATAGATAATAAGATCGAGGGCACCTTCAGCAGATTTTCACGACTCCAAGCTGAGTGCTGCAGCTGACGTACCTGAAGGATTGAGTGTCATCCAGAGGGACCTGGACAATCACAAGGGTGGTTTTTCCCCTCCACTCTGCTTTTCTGAGACCCCACCTGGAGTACTGCATCCAGCTCTGGGGCTCTCAGCACACGAAAGACATGGACCTGTTGGAGCAGGTCCAGAGGAAAGCCAGAAAAGGGATCAAAGGGCTGGAACATCTCTTCTATAAGGAAAGGCTGAGGGACTTGGAGTTGTTATGCCTGCAAAAGAGAGAGCTCTGGGGAGAACATATTGCATCCTTTAGTACTTAAAGGGAGCTTACTAGAAAGATGGGGAAAAGGTTTTTAGTAGGGCCTGTACAGATAGGACAAGGGTAATGGTTTTGAACTAAAAGAAGGTAGATTCACACTAAGTATGAGGAAGAAAATTTTTATAGTGCAGGTAGTGAAACACTGAACCAGGTTATCCAGAGAGGTAGTGGATGCCTCATCCCTGGAAACAATCAAGACCAGGTTGGACATGTCTCTGAGCAACCTGATCTAGTTGAAGATGTTACTGCCCGTAGCAGGGTGGTTGAGCTAGCTGACCTTTAAAGGTCACTTTCAGTACAAACCATTATATGATAGTATGAATAAATAGTACATGGTTGGGTGCAATAGCAGGGAACCAAATCCATTGATCCACATAGCTCTTTGCATGTAATATGCTTTTTTGCTTTTAATGCTGGTATTGCATAGAAGTATCTAGAGCATATGTAACCTGTGTTTTCTCTCCTGTTCTTTTCCTTATGCAAACAGTTCCAGTTCCAGCCTGCAAAATCCTCCTGGTAATAATGAAGAAAGAACTCATCTTATGGGCAGTGAAACATAGCCAGACATACTTTCAATTCTCTGTTTACTATTGTGGTTTAACCAGGTGACTGGACTTAACAGTGCTTCATTATTCTGGAGCTGGGACATGATCCCTTATTGAACAACCAGTTGTGGTTTAATTGTAGCTGCATTACTGTTTTGAAATACTAAACACTGACTGCCTTTCTTTTGGAAGTTCTCATAAGTGATGAGTAACCCTCAGCTGTCAGCCTGTGTAATTGTGCTCCATGTACAGTGCACCACTGTATGTGAAGAGATGTGTTTTCAGATGTCTGGTTTCTATACTCATGCATACTGTGCATTATTCTTGGGTAAAGCTACTATTTTGCTACCATGATTTTCTGTACCT